TCTCCCACAAGCTTGCACTTCTAATCCATGTCATGCCTGGTTCCTTCTTGCAGGGATCAAGACCAGGGCCATAGGGGCCTGATGGGTTGTGACACAAATCCATCTTGCTGTCAGCACAAGGTATCTTTGGGGAAATGATAGCAACTGAAAGGGGTCCAGAGAGGACACGTGATGGTTTATTTCTTAATCTGGGTTTATGATTATGTAGTTGACATGTTTTCTTTTTATACACTTTATATTTACAGAATTGTGTACTAATTATTTTTGTCTGCTTTTGTTTTGCAGTTTTTGGCTGGGGCTGGGTTTGACCCCGCCACATCTGGCATATGGGGCCAGTGCCCTACTCCTTTGAGCCACAGGCACCACCCCTATTTTTATGTTTTTTTATATGTGTTTTAAATAGCAACAAAAAAGTTAACAAAATCCATTTTTTTTTTAAGAGATATGGCCTTGCTTTGTTGTCTGGCTGGACTGTAGTGCTGTGATCATAGCTCACTGCAGCCTCCTGGGCTCAGGGGCTCCTCCTGCCTCAGCCTCCCGAGCAGCTGGGAGCACAGCCACGTACCCTGGCATGCTTGGTGAATCTTTTGTTAATATTTTTTTTTTTAAAGAGACTTGGTATGTTATTCAGCTTCCATCAATAATAAATTTTAACACAGAAATGATTCTTGCCATATGTAAGATTAAAAATGCTTCATAAAGAAACAAGTCTCCCTTCCCATTGTCTGCTCAGACTCTACTCACTATTGACTTTGGTCTGATCTTTGATAAGGTAAATTACATACCAATTACTACTGAAGACCAAACTTCACATCCATTTCTACTTTGTAAGGAAGAAATGTTAGAGGATCAGTAGATTAGTTGACCAAAAAGTTAAACCAATTTAAATTTTAAAAGGAAATTAAGTTTCTAGTATGATTGAGAAGGTTTAACTTTTTGTTTTAATGCTCAAGAGTACATAACTTTTTGTTTTAATGCTCAAGAGTACACACGTGTTGAGAAGGAGGTCTGAGCCTTCATTATGCGAGCAAGGAGAAAGAAAAAGATGTAAGTGAAGAAACAGAACAATCTTGTCAGGGGAGAAGCTACAGATCACAGCGGATGGACTCAATTTTTTATGAAATTAGCCAGCAGGGTTATCTTGTGATGATTCAAAGAACTAAACATACATTCCCTCTTTGAGTCTTACACAACTCAGATTCAGGGTGAACAAATAAAATTCTTGTTTGACAGATGGGAAAACAGCCTTGTTTTGGTTTACTGAGGTAGCCAGAGTTCAAGGGATAAGGGCTGAAACTCAAGATTAGAAGAATCAGAAATCCATAGAAGAATGTCGTCTGGTGTCTGGTGTGCACACTGATTTCTCAGCACTAAGAACCCAGCATGTGAGTTATTTTAATAACCTGCAACTCAGGAACTGCAGACAGGGCCTGCTGCTCTTTTCATCACGCCCCCACCTTCTCAAGCTCCTTCAGCTCTTTAACTTACTTAATTTTCAAAACAGGTATCACGAGGGCCAGGGATCATCCTGGTCCCTGGAATTCTAGAGCAGGACCCCAGGATCTCCACCCTGGGCTGGGCCCTCAGCTCACTCAGCTGCCACATGCTGGCCCACCCTCCTCCAGCTCTCCCCTCCGGGTCACCACTTCCTCTCTGCTTCCTGGGTGAAACCATCTCCCCATTTTCAGCGGAAGTGTGAGGCCATCTTACTGAGAACCCTCACCTTCTCTCCTCTTCACTTCACATTTTTTGAGACCACTGGCTGACAAACTGGAACTATTAGTTTTGTAAGAACAATCAGGGTAGAAGCAAAATCTATGGATATAGAATCACAAACCTACACAGAGGAAATCACCATCAGACCTAGAAGTTCACTAGAAGGTCCAAGTTCCTCACATTTGGTTGATGTTACAGCCGTTCTGTGTGGTGACCTGGTGACTGCTGCTGGCTGCTAAGAACACCAGTGGGCTGCGGCAGTATCAAGGTCGGGGAGAGCTCAGGCTACACCCTCTTCTCCGTGCCGCCCATGCTCAGGGTCCTTTTCAAACCTCAGTGTCACACATGTCATTCCTTCTCTTGAATCACCAAGGCCTCTCAGAATCATCAACACACACAGCCTGCTGTCATTCTTCATCCTGCTCAGCCTTTCTGAAGGGGTTCACCACATCCTCTTCATTCTCTTTGCTTCCAGAACAACGAGCACACATTGTTTTCTTCTAGTTTTCTGATGATTCCTCTATTTCCTTTCGTGGTACCTTCAGTCTGCCTACCTCCCAAATGGGACAGAATTCCCAGCCCAACTGCTTTCCTCCTGTTCTATGCTACTACTAACTGGCTTGACCCAGCAACTGGTTAAGTAACTGGGGTTACTACTTAACCCCACTCCTGCCCCAAGCTTCCTTAACAGAATTCCAGGTCCTCCCCATCTAGCTCGAGCCTCCCCTTTCATGCACCCTTACGTCCCTCCACCCCACTGCCTGTGCCCTACTGTGTCACCAAACCAGAAAACGGACCTTGCCCTGCATGCTCTTCCCCTTCCTGTCTCCACAAAGGTCTTCTGCTCCTCCCTCCCTTATACAGGAAGCAGGCGTTTACGAGCATGGGATGGATCAAGAACAATGGAGAGCAGAATCAGACACTATTTCTAACATTACGGTGCCTGGAGTTAGGGGGGACCACTACTTACCACACAATCACACAAATCATCACACAGATCAGGAGACTCCAAGATACTGGGAAAAGTGACTTTTCCAAGCCTGTCCACATGCAGGCCCAGCCCAGACCCTCCTCTGAGCGCGCCCTTCAGCCCTGCTACCCACCCTCCCTCCCCTTTAGGCCCCACAGTCCCCAGGACTACTGCCCTGTAGCAGTTCAGGGGGGTGGGTTACACCCTGTGTGCACAGACACACGGCATTTCTGTACTTCATGCCCCTTCCTATTTACAGCCTTTCTCATCTCACTCTGTGCCTTGAGAACCTGACGGGAGGCCAGAGAGACTGTGTGGTCACCCGAAACACCTGCTCCTCAGTTGTCAGGTCACTAAGCATCATGCTCTTATTCAAAATAATATTTTTAAGTGAAACTGCTTACCCAAGTATCAGAAATTGCCCTGGGGCTGGAAGACTCAGCTGTACAGAGTCTTTCAGAAGCACCAGCAGAGAGGCCCAGCTGTCCACGAGGTTGGGCACTGGGATTCTGCAAGACAAGTGTGGGTTGTGGGTAGAGAGAGCCACAGTCACCTCCAACTTTCTTAATATCTTCCCACTATCTTTAGCACATTTTTATCCTAGTTTCTCTGAAATATTATCTCAACTTTTATACACTATGGTACAACAAAATTCCTAAAAGCTTTATTTTTCTACTAATATAAGAAAACTAAATACATTTCAAATACCCAATACAATTTCTTAATCTAGAAATGTTGCTACAGAGATCTTGCTTATCACATGAACTCTCAAAAGTAAAATATGATTATAGTAATTCCCAGTTTAATTACTGATAACACAGTCACCCTCACCCTCTCCCGGCCTCTCCATTTCCTGCTTTAATTAGGTCTTTTCCCTTCACTTACAAGTCTCCACCTCAAGATAGGAAGACTGTCAACTGACACTACTCTCTCATCTGCAAAAAATTACCCTTTTTACAGTCTGACTTAACGCTAACAAATCTCTGCATCTAAGTTTGGATTTGTGGGCAGACCTTGCTCTAGGTCACAATCAGTGTCACTAACTAACCTAACCTTATAGATGTTAGTCATAGATCTGAAACATGCCAAGTAGGGTGATGAAAATGGAATTGTCCTATTAGAGAGGATTAGATTCAGGCTCTCCAGTAAGAAATTTATCAAAACTCAAATCAAAGAACTTCTATTAGGGGTCAGGCAAAAGCAAAATGGAGTACAAGAAGGTATTTTCATGTTATCATGCCCAACTTTAAAAACAAAAAAAGCAGAATGGATTGCTACATGATCACCTACATAAAAAAGAAAATGGTTTCAGTGGCGATAAGCATGGTTTCAAAAGAAGGTCCAGTTTTCAATTTCTATTTAAATGATTTTCTTATAATTTAGTATTTTAAAATCTTCAATTGGGACTTCAGGTCTGTAAGATGTGCGTGGCTGGGTCACTGAGACACCAGGGTTTGTGCTGACATACTCATGGACAATGTTTCTCTGTTTCTAGCATTTTTTCTTTTAGTTTTAGGGAGGAAATAAATGCAGCAACATCTTGAGAGAATTCAAGCGCTTTCTCCCCATGCATCCTCACTTGCACACATAGCTAACACAGTAAGGAAAGGTCTCATCAGTAATCTTACCTTTGAATATAAGCATAGAAAAACTGAAGCATGCAGACTTCCAAAGAAAGATGTTTCTATAAACAAAAGAAATCAGTTTTATAGTGAAGAAAAACGCTGCCTTTGCTTATTCATCATTGCACCTACTCTGTATCTTTTTTGTTGTTGTTGCAGTTTGGCCCGGGGCTCGGTTTGAACCCACCGCTCTAAGTACATGGGGCCAGCGCCCTACTGACTGAGCCACAGGCACCTCCCTACTCTGTATCTTAGTCCCAGTTTTTAATAAGAAAGATTAAAAGAAAACAAAACAGAATCAAATACTAGTTAGTCATAAAAAATCATACAGTTCCCTTCACTTAGCAGGGAACCCTTATAACATTTTAAGCTGGGTAAAAAGTTGAAAGCACTGGGAAGAATGGGGAGGCTCTGGGTTCCTCCCTCTCACGGAGAAGCTGGCTCTCCGGCAGTTACTGTTGCACGGCCCACGTATTCTATAAGCACCAATAAGATTTTTAAGTTCTTTATGCTTGGTGTCAACAGTTAGGTTGAGTTTTTTTATTAAATGTATATTTAAGTCTATTTATTACATACATGTTAAATTAGGGTTGTTTGTTCAAATTTGGGTTAAATTCCTAACAGCTTAAAATAGCTTAAAGCCATTAAGTTAAAGATAGTGCTGAGTGTAAAATGTAATAAAAACACCTGCCCTCAAGACATTTACCAATTTGTTCTTTTTTAGTCCCAACTGTTCCTTTGAAGGTTTCCTCTTTTACTACATAAAGAAAAATCAACTGTCTGTGTAATGGGTTCAGAAGTATGTTGGAGCAGCAGGCTGAGTGGACCCGGCTCTGCCCCATCTTCACGGTGCTCACGCACAGCCAAGCGCCTGGTGGAATGCTCCAAAATGCTGTGAACTGAGCTTTCAAATAGTCCCAACACAAACGCTCTGCAGGTGCTTCCAGAAGAGCAGGAAAACATCAGAAATAAGGACAGTGTCCTGAGAAACAAACACCCCTTTCTCTTTGGCAATTTAAGAAAAATGTCACAGCATACTTTAATATTCTGAGATTTGCTGTAATTGGCTGAAGGATGTGGGTAGTTCTATTTTGGCTTGGCTCAGAGTCTCATGTTTGTAGTTAGTAAATATTAGAAAATATGACTTCTTGGTAATGCCTAAAGAACAGAAAAAGCAGAGAAACCCATAATTTTCTGACTTATAGACCTTTCTGTCTGCTTAATTAGTAAAAAACAAGAGCAAAGACTGTGCCCTCATTTTCTGCAGTCTTTGCTCAGCACACAGCACTACACATGGGCAGGAATGACACCGACTAGAACTAAGGCTCCAGCAAACTCTGGAGAGTTCACAGAACAGAGAGACTCACTCTGAACATAAAGCAATAAGAAAGCTGTGGAGAACAGCAGCAGCCGGTGAGCTGAGCAGACCTGAGCTCTGGTTTCTACGTTCTTCTTCTCAGGGACCAGAGAGCTCTCGCCTGAGACGCTGGTCACGTGGCTCCTGCCAGCCTGACACACACAGGCAGATACAGTTAAGAGCTCTTCCCGGCTATAAGAATGACCAGCACAGCAAGTCACCATGATACTAAAACCTGACAGAAACAGTGTGGAGGCCGCCGGCACTTGCCTCTGCAATCTGCACTGTAGCCAAAAGGACATTATTACACAATGTCTTACCCACCAGCATCCTCTCTGAAACAGAACTGCAAACAAGGACAGGGAACCCTCTCCTCACCTTGTCCTTGGCGATGGCCGGGGGCTGCTTCAGGACCTCCTTCACCGTCTGGATGACAGTCTCTGCTCTCATGACACTGATGGCCCGGACCAGCTCCACCAGCAGGAGCTGCTCAGTGCTGGCTGCAGGGATGACCTGGGGGCACAGCGCTGTGTTTACGTGTGGGAGTCTTTTGAGAGAAGTCGCAGGATTAACAGACTATGGCCTTTTCTTAATACATGGTATAAAGGCCTTTCAAGTCCCTTGGCTACTTTATGTAAAATTTACTCTTTTAAATCAATATAATATGTGCACATCAGCTCAGAAAACCAAATAGGGCAATGAGCAATGAAAAAAAATAGTACCTTGCCTTTTCCTTTCCCATGTCCCACAACAACCATCAACTGTTTTAGTTCTTTGCCCTTCCCTGGAGTTAGTGGACTGCTGTCTGTGGAGCTGTGTGGTGCATGGTCTCTGCTCTCCTGGTGGGACTCCTGCCTTCCCTGGAGTGAGTGGACCACTGTCTGCTGTGCTGTCTGCATCCACCAAAGACTCATCCTAAAACTCTAACTAGACACTCAAAGACCTCAGGTAGTTGATCATGTACCTTTTCCTCCTCTTCTTTTTCTCTATTTTTTTCTTTATTGGGTCATTTTTATAAAATACCTTCAATTCTACCCTAGATAGGCACTCTATAGGCTTGCTATTCAGTGCCACCCTCGCCCAGAGCGAGTGTCCCCCTCGCCCAGAGTGAGCGTCCCCCATTCCTCCATGTAGGAGTCTCTCCTCCCGAGACCTGGATCTGCTTCTTTTTTGGTCTGTTCCTCCTGTGGTGGAAATGTATATTTTAGTAGCTGAGAAAAAAGTGAAATGATGCCAATTTTTTTTGATATACTGCATGGCTGAAAATGTTTTGAGAGACAGTTTGGCAGAATTACCAGCTGAGACTGCCTTCCCTTTGACATTTCCAATGTTGCTTTGACAATTTTTTTTCTTTGCTTGACAAATCTTAACAGTGTTCTTGTGAATGTGACCCATTTTGTTCCTTTAGAAGATTTCAGGATCTCCAGAATGTTCTGAAATTAGATGCCAGTCTTGCTGTAGATCGTGCTTCACCACTCTGGGCAGTCTAGAACACACTTCCTCTGTTTCTCAGAAAGGTTTCTTGGATATTTTTTCTGTTTCACTCTTCTGTTTTCTTTCTACAAAAAGGTATTGGGCTTCCAGTATCAACCCTTTACTATTCTTATCTCTTTTCTCTTATTTTCCGTATCTTTCCGTTTATTGTCCACTTCAGACATTGATCCACTTTCTGTTTCAACTCTCCAACTGATCTTGTTTGTTTTTGCTACAGAGTTTTTTCTTGATTTTATGGCAAGTAGGATTTAATATTTATTAGTGCTTTCCTAATTATCCTAGGTCTTTTAGGTTGGTTGCATTTTTTAAAAATTTTTGTTTATTGTTTGGGATACTCTTCTTAAAATTTTTATTAAATCATAATTGTGTACATTGATACATTTATGGGGTTCTGATTTGTACTGATTTGATATATAATGTGAAATGCTTACATCAAACTGATTAACACATCCATCACCTTGCTCACTTAGTGGTTTGGGATTCATTGAGGGCACAAAGGATTAGGTTACACTGATTGCATCTGTTAGATAAAGTCCCTCTTATAATTGTGTCCTGCCGCCAAGAGGTGTACCATACACCAAGACCCCCCAAGACCCCCCTCCCCACTTGCTCATTCCCCTACTTACCCCTTACATTAGCATCTGCTGCCTTTATATTAGAATAGAGTACATTGGATTCTTCCTTTCCCATTCTTGTGATGCTTTACAAAAAAGAATGTGTTCCATCTCCATCCAGGTTAATATGAAAGATGTAAAGTCTCTATCCTTTTTAATGGCTGAATAGTATTCCATGGCATACATATACCACAGCTTGTTAATCCATTCCTGGGTTAGTGGGCATTTAGGTCATTTCCACATTTTAACGATTGTAAATTGAGCTGAAATAAACAGTCTAGTACAAGTGTCCTTATGATAAAAGGATTTTTTTCCTTCTGGGTAGATGCCCAGGAATGGGATTGCAGGATCAAATGGGAGGTCTACCTTGAATTCTTTGAGGGGTCTCCATACTTCTTCGAAAAATGCTGTATTAGTTTGCAGTCCCACCAGTAGTATAAAAGTGCTCCCTCTTCTCCACATCCACATCAGCATCTGTAGCTTTGAGACTTTGTGATGTGGGCCATCCTCACTGGGGTCAGGTGTTATCTCAGAGTAGTTTTGATTTGCATTTCTCTGATCATTAGGGACAATGAGCATTTTTTCATATCTTTGTTAGTCATCTGTCTTCTTTAGAGAAGTTTCTATTCATGACTCTTGCCCGCTGATATATGGGATTGCTGGATCTTTTTTTGTTGATTAATTTGACTTCTCTATAGATCCAAGTTATCAAGTTTTTGTCTGATTCATAATATGCAAATACCTTTTCCCATTCTGAAGGGGAATGTTTGCTTTGGTTGTTGTTTCCTTAGCTGTACAGAAGCTTTTAAGTTTAAGTCTCATTTGTTTAGTTTTGTTGTTGTTGCAATCACCACAGAAATATTTCCATAAAATCTTTCCCCAGGTTGATATTTTCAAGTGTTTTCCCCACACTTTCTTAGAGGATTTTTATTGTTTCACGCCTTAGATTTAAATCTTTTATCCATCTTGAATCAATTTTTGTAAGTGGTGAGAGGTCTGGGTCCAGTTTCAGTATTTTACATGTGGTTATCCAGTTTTCTAAGCACTGTTTATTGAACAGGGATTTTTTTCCCACAGTGTATGTTCTTGTTTGGTTTATCAAAGATGAGGTGGCTGTAAGATGTTAGTTTCATCTCATGCTTTTCTATTTGGTTCTAAATGCCAATGTCTCTATTTTTGCTAATACAATGCTGTTTTGATCACTATGGCCCTGTAGTATAGCAGAAAGTCTGGTAGAGTGATATCCCTGGCTTTTTTTTTTTTTTTTTTTAGAG